TCTCCCAGGGGCCATAGTTCATTCTAGACTGCTTTTGCTGCAACCACTAATCCTTAGTAAAAGTACCTATCCCTTCAGCCAAAGGGAGTCGAGGGTCTTTCTTTCCTAGGGACCTAGCTGGGACGAGCCTGACCATTGCATGCCAGCAGTTCCAGAAGGCCCCCATTTTATTTTCCTATTGGTACGTCCGCAGCCGTGAATGCAAAATTGGCTGCAGTGGTTGGTTTTGGTGTGGCTGTTGGCAAGCCTGAAAGCCTTTGGCCTGAACATGCGTCTTCTTTTTCTTTTCCTTAGCAATTTCTTGCTTACTGGCGTCTGTCACTCTCGATCTCAGCCAGTATGCTCTGGACATCGTGAAAGGGTTAGCCAGTAAGTGATTTTTGTTTACATTTATGTTCCTTTTAGGCAAGATTCTCTCTAGTGCAGTGTTTCTCAACCTTGGCGACTTGAAGATGTCCGGACTTCAACTCCCAGAATTCCCCAGCCTGGGGATGGAGTTTAAAGGAGAGGCAGTTGGGAGTGGCATTTGTCGGGAACGAACATTGAGTTCGCCTAGTATAGAGTTGTGGCCTGCATTCCTGGCGTTCTTTCCGACTGTTTGAAATAGTTACAACCTTCTGGATGTTTATCTCCTCTTGCTGGAATTATCCATCGCTCCTGGAACTCATTTCTTGCCCTGCTGGAGTGATTAATTGCTGTCATTCTGCTTACAGAGTTTGGGCTGCAGGTTTGGGGAAGAGGGACGTTGGGAGCACAGTTGGTGCCAATAAAGAGACTTACACCAGTTCTGTGCCTTTGTGCCAAGCCCCAGGTCATCACAATATAAGTCACTTTTTCCCAGTGGTGTTGTAACTCTGAACGGTCACTAAATGAAGCGTTGTACATTGAACATTATCTGTATTTCCATTTTTTAAATTTCTTGCCCTTCCTTGAAACTCTGGCCGTCTTCGTGGCCTCCAAGTAGATTGAAAACTTACCTTTCCATTGGTCATGTAACAAATGGTTGTAAATGGAGGCATACCTGTACAGGACTCTGATATAACGACAATTCCAGGGGACAGGAACTACTGTATTTTTTGGAGTATAAGACACACCAAGATTTTGAAGAGGCAGGTTTTTTTCAAAAAGAGTTTGCACCCTGCAGACCTCTCAAAAATGGGCTGGCCCGTTTTTGTCAAAAAAAAAGGGCATGCATAGCCTTTAGGAGGCTTGTAGAGTGCTCCCGGGGGGGGGCAAAAAATGGCCCGCTTTTTGCTCTTTTTTGCCCTTCCCAGCCCCCAGGAGCACTCTGGAAGCCTCCTAAAGACTATGCACGGCCATTTTGGTGATGGGGGCGGGGTTTTGGGAGGCCAAAACATGCTGCATTCAGTGTATAAGACGCACCCAGATTTTCACCCTATTTTTTGAGCTAAAAAGGTCCGTCTTATACTCTGAAAAATATGGTACCTCTGAGGAAGGATCCCTGGGAAGATCCACAGGCAGAATGGAGTGATTTTAGAGACCATCTCTGGCCTGTGGCCTCTGGACAGTTCTTTTCCACTCGGCATTTCCTCATTCTCTTGTACTTCTTCCCCAAAAGAAAGCCCTAGTCTTCTAACGGCTCCTGTGTTTGCTTTTTAGGCCAGTTGAAATCCAACAGTGCTCACCTGATGGACAAGGCCGTCATTGCCCTAAAGAATTTGGCTCTGCAGTGCAGTGACCCGTCCACCGTGGAGGCCTTTGGGAAGCACCTCTTCGCCATTTTGGGAGGTCAGTAATTATTTTTTGGGGAGAAAAGGGCTTTGTCAGGCTCTGGAAACAAAGACCCATTGTGATTTTCTCAAGCAGGGCAGTGGTGGGATACGATCGGTACGCCCCGGTACGGGCGTACCGGTGCCTGCTGGTAGCATCAGGTTCCGGTATGGTGCTCTGGAGGGCCTGCCCGCCCGCCCTCCTTACCTGTATTTGAGCCGATTGGGGATTTCGCGCACACGCACGGAGCGTACGGTACCTACGCAATGCTCCGTCAAGCAGCTAAAGCGGGTGGTACGTACACATGCGTGCGCTGTGCACGTGGTGGATGTCGGGGCCCCATTGCAACGGGATCCGGGACCCACCACTGAAGCAGGGAAGCACCTGTAGACAGAGTCTTGCCAAATCGGAGAAAACTGCTACCTGCACAAAGCATATCCTCTGGGAACTATTAAGGAGAGGCTGTCTTCACCTCCTTTCTCATACACAAATTCTCTGAATCGAGTTGTTTTTGTCAGAAATGTAATCTTCCCTCTTGGAAAACTGGCCCACTACACAGTTGCCTCTTCGTTGGTTTCATTCTTTCTTTCTCCTCTTCTGCCAAGCGAGGCAGAGAGTTGCTTACATCAAGGTGGGGCGGTGGTAGTGATGGTGTCCATCCTTGACAATTTTAGGACTTGTAGACTTTAATTCCCAGAATTCCCCAGCCAGCTATGCTGTCTGAGGAATTCTGGAAGTTGAAGTCTATAAATCTTTTTTTAAAAATAAATTAAAATTCATTTATTATTACAATATTGGACAAAGTGTGACCATCCTGGCGTTAACTCCACCATGCATACTAACATAAAAAAAAGATGATATAGAAATAACATTGTTGTCTTACATTAATTATAGTATATCTCTATCTTCTACTCAATATAATTTATATTTACATATATTACATTACATTCCAAGTTCATAAATCCTAATTATTTCTTGTTTCAACTTCTAGCCCTCGTTTCCCGTCATTGGTACATACTAACGTAAAAAACATTGTCTTCTTACATTGCATTGCTAGTTATAATATACCTATATCTCTATATCTATCTATCTATCTATCTATCTATCTATCTATCTATCTATCTATCTATCTATCTTCTACTCAATATACTCATATTTACATATATTACATCACATTCCAAGTTCATAAATCCTAATTATTTCTTGTTTCAACTTCTA